AACAAAAGGTTCTGTTTGTTTTTGAAAGTTTCGACATCAAATGTTTTGATAATTTACTGTGTAGCTGTACAGACACACACACACACACACACACACACACACACACACACACACACACACACACAATGTACATATATAAGCACATACTCAGTTGTAACCTTGGAGTATGTACACAGTGATTATGTTGTCTCTTCCCACAAGATAATCAAACTTACTGAGAATGCATTCTCACCTATCCTCTATTATCCTGCCTTTCTTGATACATTATAGATATACAAATTTGCATAAAAAAGATTGTTGATATAAATGTAATATTTACATATATAGCTTCTCAAAGATGTGATATGACACAAACAGCTAAATGCGACAGCTATAGCTCGGCAAACACTAATAAAGTAAACAGTGTGACAAATAAGCACAAAGAAATAGTAAGATTGTGCATGAGCTGTAAATGCAATGTACATGGGATTTTTCTCTTGTGACAATGCCTTAACGTATGTTCTAAACAAATCCAGCATTTATTGTGTTGTTTCGTATTCTCGAGTTCTGACTTATAATACTGTTAAGGGGGTTTCTTGTTCAGGAAAAAATTGAACAAAATTTGTGATTAGACCATCACCCCCGAGAACCAATTAGAATTATACCCATTAATTCTTAGGTTAAACTATTGCAAAATTTCAGTATCACACAAAGGTGTATATTTAAGCATGATAGCAGAGGGTTTGATGCATAAAAAAAAGAAAGAAAAAATAATAATAATAGAAAAAAAATAAACAAACAAAAAACCAAGCTATAACTAAAATAATGTTACATTTGGGTAGACTGTATATAACTGAAACCTCATGTTTTTACTCCATGCTCCACATGAAAAGACTGCAATAACATGCAGTACATTTTCCTTTTAAAGCTTATTTACTCCTCTATTCACATACATAGCTATATACACGTCAGACAGCAACACTTTTATAGTTCAATAAAAATGTTTCTTCTCACTCTGATCTATGCATAGTATAATATAAAAAAATGACAAGGAGTGTTGTGCCAATTTATTAAAGTCTGGTGCCAGCATTCTTTAACCATTTGACAGCATCTGGCACATTCAATTATGGCTAGAATTCCTAGGTTTTGGGCTGTGCCTTGATATCTCTAGTTTTTAGACAATGAAGAATTCCTAAATTAGAAAAAAAAAAAAGTAAAGATTACTTCCTCATTCTCCTTTGTCCTGACATCTTACTGCTGGTGGGGATTCCTTGGGCATATGTGGGATTTCTAATACAAAGGTACTGAGAAATTATTAAAGGTTACATATGACAAGGGTAAAAAAGGTATAAAGTCAGAACTTGACTTCAGATCACAACAGATGTAATCAACATGTTTTGATTAACTTTTATCAGAATTACGTTCAATGCTGATAAAGATTTATTTGATACACCAAGAGGACTAAGGTTTAAATTTTGTATTCCTGTAGCAAGAGGACTAAGATATGTATTTGGAAAAGTCACTTGACATCTTCCATCAATTAGCATCTAGACCTCAATGACTTTGGGATTTACTGTAACTGATTTTATCTATTGCAGCTGACCAAGATAAAGACACATTCTAATGGTGCAATAGGCCTATTTCAATTAGTAAATTTTACTAAAAAATTGAAATAAAATTCTATATAGAAAAGACATGGGTTACATTCAGGTTTTCTTGGAGGGAATTTGTTGAACATATGGTACAGCTTGCTGAGACTGATTTCTGCAGCTTCTCTTAAAAATGCAAAGTGAATAATTAATGTTTGCACTACCATTTGATTCTTCCAACTTCATTTCCAACTAACAAACTGTCTTACACTTTGAGAGTGGTAAGTAAGACTGTATTGGGGATGGGGTCAAACAGTACAGGGCACATCACAAAGAATGAACTGGTGACACCAGGAGAACATGTACATACATCCAGTTCCCTGGGACTTTGATTTACTGATATTGTAAAAATATTGATGGCTCCAGACATGCTTAGTCTCAAAGAAGTTAACCCCTTGGACCTGGATGATGATGTGGCCATATCATTGAAAAACCTCAGCTGTGGGGCGGGTGATGTGAACTGCCCTCATAAGCGAAGGCCAGGATGACGGAAAAAACTCGCCAAGAGTGCACAAACCTCTTAGAGTGTGATTTGACTCATTTGGCACTTAGAAGGGGGCTTCAGTATTATTCCCATTGATAAACAAATGTGGAATGTAATATGTGTAAGCAGTGACTAGAAGAGTGCCAGCTCCATGGAGACGCTATTTCCATGCTATTTCCACTGTATTCCTGGCCGCTGTGACCAGCGGCGCTGGGTGTATTATGTAAAATAAAAAATTACGAAAAAATGAGATATATGACAAGTAACCAAATGTTCCATAGTTTTTTTTTCTTGCCCAGAGTTACTTGGTACATAGAGACTGTGCAAGGAAACTAAATAAATACCATCTGGATAAGGCAAATCAAAAGACAAATATGGACATTAGAAAATGGCATTAAAGCTAAAAAAGTTTACAAAAAATAACTTTTCAAAGGGGAAGCACCGAGTCTTGTTACCGCTCATAGGTGTTCATGCGCGCCTGGCCTAAGCACCACACGCCTGGGATATTGGCCATATACATAACCCATTGCCTGGGTTTTCATCTCCATGATGCAACTGGATCCAAAGAGTTAATAGTCCTAAATGATCTCTTCTGTTTAACCCCTAAAGTCTGACTGGCCACAATGGAGGCTTTTCTAGGCTAACCTTTCTTCAGCGTAAAATAAATATTCTTGTAATGTATGGCAAATAAAACACCAAGCAAAGACCTTCAATTCCCCTACTCCTATGGCATCCCCTGTCTCAATAAAAATCATGCTAATACCTCTTATCATTAGCCCCACCTTTTCTCTTCTTGTGAATAAACATTGTATGAATAAATCTGAACTTAACAGAATATATGGCATATACACCTAAAACCCGACTCTTTCCCCATTTCCTTGGTAACCCCAAACATACAAGTACTTCCTATCATTGGTCACACCTCTATGCATTAACGTAATACATAAGAAATGAGTATTCTCAAGACTAAGGCTTTCTCTTTACTTTAATAATGGTAATGATAATAATGTGACATGAATAATACCTTGAAACAAAAACATATGTCTTGTCCCCATCCAATAATAATATGCTTCCTATTCTGAGTTGTAATTTAATATATAATATATATATATATATATATATATATATATATATATAAATATATATATATATATATATATATATAATATATATATATATATATATATATATATATATATATATATATATATATATATATATACACACATACATATATATGTATATATGTATCATATATATAAATTATATACATATATATACATATACATACATACAGATAGATAGACACAGACACAGAATTCATTCTTTCTTTCTCCCACCCTTGTCCATCCCTCCCTCCTTCCCCTAGCAAGAAACAGGAAAATCAAGTGATGACTAAGCACTGATGGAGCCATTTATGTAAAAGAAAAATTCACAAGTCAAACCTATGCTGGATAGAAGATGTACTCAGTTCCATACATAATTTACGAGGAAGTAAAACCTATGCCTACATCAAAGAATGTATCCAACTTCAAAATGTTTTCTTCAGGATTTTCTTTTCTTTTCTTTTTTTCATTCCTAACCCTAATTTACAAAAATGTGTAGGCTATATCTGGCCTCTATTCAAGAACAGAGTCTAAAATATTTTGAGGTGAACAGTTGTGAACTGGTGTCAAAAACTTGCTTAGAATATCTTAATAGTTGTATTTCCTGAACTTCATCATGGAGAAGCAGTGTGTTTTCAGGATTAATAACATTCATTTTTTGGTAATATTATGAAGTTATGATTAAATTCTTAAAACAAGTCCCTTTTTTCTCATACAAAAACAAACCAATTATTTCTAAACTATAATAATAACTAATATAACTATAAACTCTATCTGGGCATAATGTCTACAGTGAAACAAATAAATAGAAGAAATAATATAAGGAATACTATTTAGACTTTTGAGAATGTACTGCTTCACTTCATACTTTAATCCTAATTGCATGTGTTAAAAAAAATAGCCACAATGATTATGTTACTTGTTCATGATACAGTAGTGATTTCAGACTTTTTTTTTTTTTTTTTTTTGCAAAGTTAGTATAATGAACTTAACAATGACTGAATTCTTAATTTTGGAGATCAAATTGGTTGGAGCAGCTACTGGATACTCTAATTAATATTTCCTTTAAAAACTTGCATGTAATATGTTATTGTTTGTCTTCTTCAAAAAAGCAAATAATTCTCTACAGTTAATAATCAAAATAGGGTTTATAATGGTACTTTTCATATTATATATTACATTTTGTACGCAGGCAGTGATTGATTGGTGGATAATATAAAACATCTACCAAATTGTAGAATCCTAACTCCTTCAACTATGAGAAAATACTAGAAAACATTCAATAGGAGTTTCTTTGTACAGCAATTCCGTAAAAATTAATCAAGTATTCACAGACCACCACACAAAACCTACATGCAGACACATGTGCTTGAATTCTGCATGGATAATATAACGTAACCAATTGAAAGAAAGAAATAATAAAAGAAGAAAGAAAATTTGAAGTGAAAAAGGATAGTAGTGTATTCAGACATGTACTATTCTGCAGCAGCTCAGTGTTAGACACCTACGTTTACCTCTTACTTCTCTTAGCAGGGGGACCACGAGTCTTGGTGGAATTTGCACCACGTTTTCTCTTAAATGAGAACTTTACTGTCATCTTGCTTGCATCTTTGGCTGGCATGGGCTTAGGCTTAGTACTAGCCTTAGCCTTCGTGTTAATCTTGGCCTTAGTATTGGCCTTTGCCTTTGCTGCAGCCCCAGACACCCTCTTGGACACCCTTGTGCCTGCCCTCCCTTTGCTAGCTGCTGCCGCTGTGGCTGCCTTACGCCCCTGGCCCTTACCCTCTGTTTTGGCTCCTAACTTCCTCTTCTTTGCTGGCTCCGTTCTTGGGGCCTTTGGGGTCTTCGGAGATGCTCCCTTGGGGGTCTTTGGTGTGGCTGAGGTCACTCTCGCTGTCCGCACTTTCCCACCAGGAGCTTTCTGTGAGAAGCGGATGGTATCCAGGTCCAAAGTGAGGTTGTGTTCCTCACAGTGTGTGCGCACTTCATTCTTGGAGCGGAGTTTTTTGCCAAGGGGACTGAAAAAGTTGAAAGAAAATTTATATAGAAATATGTACCTAAGGAAGAAAGACAGGAGAAAGAAAGAGTGGTAATGAATAAGAGTAAATAAAAGGGGATGTTGACAATCTTTCGACATGTGTAAATATAAGTAAAAGAAGACGTTTCCTAAAATAAATTGCGATTTCCTCCTGTGTTTCCCCGAACTAAGAGACAAATATATTTCACTCAAATTTCTTTACTACTCAAGAAAACAGCTCAAATTGGCCCTTTCCTTAAAATATAAAATATGAAATCTTATCTTAACCCAATCGCAACAGGTGTCCCATATATGAGACACCTGAAAAAAATAAACAATGCCAGTGTGACACAGCAGCAGGCTGCGGCCGGCGGGCGGACAGACTCCAGTTTTATAGCCGCCCGGAATATTTTATTTTTGGCTACAAAATGTACCCATCGTGAATGGGTTAATAAATATCGACCTGCCAACTGGACCAGGAATGCACTGCAAGCCTGTGCTTTAGCCAACTTGGTATTTTTGGACCTTTTAACATTTTTTATACATAAATTTTAATAGAATGTAACCCTTGCAGTTTATTCCATGTATACATGTACATCTATGTTCCCCAGTGTACAGAATATAGTATTTCAATAAAGCAGAACCATTCCTGGGAGACTTCACAATATCTGTTGACTTAACTATTTTAAATTTTGTATCTAATCATCTAGCCAATAGAACATGCAGCTGATATCAGTACCCCTCCATATTTGCCGCTTCAGTTTTTCTATGTACTAATTCCTCTATTGAAGCATCTAAACAGTTGTGTGACATCTTACAAAATTCTTTTACAAAAATGATTTTTTCAGGAATTAGTTTGTCACTGCTGACATTTAGATCACAATTGATCAAAGGGACTATAAGCATACGGTTACTTCATTCAGTCCACACAAAGTTGACAATTACAACTCAATTTAAATCAAAAGAACCAAACAACACTAGAGCAAAGTTTACTAAATTGCATATAAAAGTAAGATCATTTTCAATAGGTAAAACACCTTTTTATTCTAATAAAATTTAAAATAACCATGGAATATATACTCATGCCATGTCCACAGTGAGTATAGTCTATAATTTGTATTTACACACACAGATTGGTTCTAAAGAACTTCGTCACTGATGAGTCGGTCAATAATCCGATCTACCTCACCTGTTTACTTTATTTTAAATTGATATTATTCTTAATAACACTGTAATAATCATAATGCAAATAATAATAATAACAGCATCCCGAGTGTGTGGCCACTAGCCAAAAAGATGATGCCATGGAGAATGGGTTAAAAATATTAATTTTTTTTTTTTTTAAGGAAAGGCAGAATCAGGTGAGGGCATATCCACCAATTAACAATTTGGTGGAAGAGCCCTTGTAGAGCAATCTATGTGTAGAAAAATTTGGAAAACAATACGACTGGGGGGGGGGGGGATCCTGGCAGCAACTAATTAATAATGATACACAAAAATTCTTTACACTAACCATTTCAATAAAATAGAACACTTAAAAGTACAATCACTAACCTGTAATAATAGACATCAAATTTTCCAGCTGATGCCCCAGTGGTACGTTGTACTACTATCCTTGTCCATCCTTCTGGCGTTTCAACATCTCCATCACCGACAACTAAGTATAAACGAAGGAGACAACAAGGGTTAAAAGAGTGAAAAATTTAACTGTTAATATGAGACATGCAAATGAATATCAATAGATAAATATACTGAGATTCTCCATTATATGTGAAAGAAATTGAAAGTTTCAGAAAAATATCAACAATATAGATTCAATCAAACCTTGGCAGACAAAGTGACAAATTACAGTACTCTAAATCACTTTATTAATGTTGTAATGGCACCTTAGAGTTGATACAGAAATGGTTCTTGAGTAAAACTAAGTTGCCCTATCTTCCCATCTACAAGCTGAATAGTTATTTTCACAACTCACTATTTGCTGGCCTCCTGGGTGTCTTCACTTCTGGTGCAGGTTTCTTTTTCTTCTTTGGCCCTCTCTTCCTGCCTGGTGTTTGCTTCTCTACACTGCTGGGTGCTTCTTCTTTCTCTGGCAATTTCTCTGTGGTGACCTGTTCTTCTGCAGTTTCCATGGGCTCACTTTCTCCATTCTCCTGTTTTGTGTCTTCAACTTCACCACTTGGTGTCTCATTTACAGCATCTGTGACATCTTTTGCATTTTCTGTTTCCATATGTTCTATCGCACTTTCCTCTTTTTCTGTTGTTTCCTTTGCATCTACATCATCTACATTATCTTTATTCTCTGTTGGCTTTTGTTCCTCCTTCTCCTCTTCCTCCTCCTCTTCTAGTACTTTACCTTTTTCCTCATTTACAATATTTTTGCTATTGTCCTGTTCCTCACTCTCTTCCACTACTTCTTGCACATGTACTTCTTCCTCCTCCTCCTTTTTCTCCTCCACATCATCTTTCACTTCCTCTGTTCCTTTGGTTTCTTCATTGTCAGCTTCTCCTTCTTGACTAGTATTTTCATTGTCTTCTGTTTGTGATTCCTCAGGTTCAACAGTGCCTTCATCTGGCTCACTAACTTCAGAATTCCCATTTTCTAAAACAAGTGCCACTTCTTCAGACACATTTATTCCTTTACCCTAAAAAAGAAGAAAGAAGAAAATATATATAGCAATACCTTAATGTGTGAATGTGTGCATATATGATCATAGTATCATATACTTAAATAATTTTATATATATTTATATACACATGGATAGGAAGAATACATGCACATGTCTTCACCTAGGACAGAATGTCTAGTGACCTCACACCTTGACCACCTCAACCTCGCCACAGGCCCTCAGCAGTATACAATAATCTAGTGTTTATCACCGGTGCCACTGTGTCCTATGCCCCTTACAAGACGCCCGTGACAAGCAGCCTCGAGTACAAGTAATTCTGAACCTTACCGTCAATCCCTCCAATTACTTTGTAAATATATACTCATATCTTGTATATACTCCAAATGTTACTCAGAAAATGCACTGTCTATATGAATGATTTTTAAATCATAATTCTTGTAAGTACTCTAGTTATCAATTGTTATTACAGTGGTGCTATGACACTGGGATAACATACCATGTGAAGCCCCTCAGTGTAACTCTAGTTATTTTTGCCACCTCATCTGCTGGTGACTGTTGCCAAATCACCTGTGCTCCTCATCACTCAAACTCTGGTTGTGTCCACCACCTAGTCTGCTGGTGATCACTGCCTGTGTCCCTCGTGCATCTCACTTCACACACTCACAAAACCTGCTGCCCTATGCTAGTGACCCTGGCAAGATCCTTCCCTCCTTGCCAGTCAATTCTCATGATGCTATTACCATGTTGTTCCTCTCCCAAGGAGACGAATCCTTCCCACCAACGTGATCCCTCAAGACCTCACTCTCAAGATTCTCTGCTCAATCCTCGTCTCATTATGAAAAACTGGTCTCCCAGAATCTTGTAGACCCGGTGTGCGTGTCATTTACAACTGACATGGGGCTTGACAAGATAAATGTCTCTCCCAGTGATCCTGTGGAACGACTGACAAGCTCCATGACTTATCACCACAGCCACTCCTGTCAAGACCACCTGCGCTTGGAACAGTGACCTGTGCGAAGAAGCTCTCTAGGCTGCTGATCTTAGAAATCCCTGTACGATCTTTCTTCTCATCTCCCGAGATCTGAGATTCCCTGGGTCAGATACCTCCATCGCCTGTCTCCAGTCATCTACCTGCATCATTTACCCAAGAATCAAGGATGATTCTACTTTGGCGACTGAGTGATCTAGTGACCTCACAACTTGACTTTGCCATAGGCCCCCAGCAATATACAGTACTTTATTGTTTATCACCAGCGCCAACATGTTCTGCACCCCTCGCAAGATGTCCATGATAAACTGCCTTGTGTACAAGTAATTCCGACCCCTACCCTCAATTCCTCTGATTATTTTTTTAACTATATATACTCATATCTTATATACACTCAAAATGTTCCTCAGAAAATCCACTGTCTATATCACTGCTTTTATAATCATAATTATTGTATATATGCTAGTTATCAATTGTTCACAATTATTCTACCAATATACCTACTTATCAGGAACTTTTTAGTCTTGTAAATATCTGATATATCACATACCACAGGACATAAGGTATCCATTGTTTCTTCATCACGAAACCATCATGTGGCCATATGATTCTAAATTTGATTTCATTCATATTCTTTAAAGTTTTCCATCATATGTTTAAAAAATCAACTTTGTTCATGTCAATTCCTGTGCCAATGCGACAGACTGCTCGCCCTCAGGGCTTGGCAGGACGCACTCCACCCTGGGTGTTTCTGCCTTCCCCTTCTGTACCAATATAGTTATAAACCTAAGACAGTTTAAACTTCATTACTATCTTCAAGAGAACCTACCAGTGCCTTACCGCCTCAGCCGCCTACCAAGTAGTAGGGATAACACCACTACATTACAAAATGAGCAAAACTGGGAGGGAGGGAGGAGTGGGGGGAGAGAGGGAGGGAAAGTGAGAGACATGGGGAGGGGGAGAGGGGGAGAGGAGAGAGGGAGGGAGGGAGAAGGAGAGGAAGAGGGAGGGAGGAGAAGGGGAGGAAGAGGGAGAGAGGGAGAAGGGGAGGAAGAGGGAGAGAGGGAGGGAGGGAGGGAGGGAGGGAGAGGGGAGAGAGAGAGAGAGAGAGAGAGAGAGAGAGAGAGAGAGAGAGAGAGAGAGAGAGAGAGAGAGAGAGAGAGAGAGGAGAGAGAGAGAAGAGAAGGGAGAGAGAGGGGAGGGAGGAGGGAGGGAGAGGGAGGGAGGGAGGGGGAGAGAGAGAGAGAGAGAGAGAGAGAGAGAGAGAGAGGAGAGAGAGAGAGAGAGAGAGAGAGAGAGAGAGAGAGGAAGGGATGAAGAGGGAGAGGGGAGAAGGGATGAGGGAGAGGGGAGAGGGAGAGAGGGAGAGAGGGAGAGAGAGAGAAGGAGGGAAAGGGAGGAGGGAAGAGGGGAGGGAGGGAGGGAGGGAGGAGGGAGGAGGGAGGGAGGAGGGAAGGAGAGAGAGAGAGAGAGAGAGAGAGAGAGAGAGAGAGAGAGAGAGAGAGAGAGAGAGAGAGAGAGAGAGAGAGAGAGAGAGAGAGAGATTTGATTTTGATAATATTTATTTAACAGAGACAGTGGAGAGAGAGAGAGAGAGAGAGGAGAGAGAGAGAGAGAGAGAGAGAGAGAGAGAGAGAGAGAGAGAGAGAGAGAGAGAGAGGAGAGAGAGAGAGAGAGATGAGAGAGAGAGAGAGAGAGAGAGAGAGAGAGAGAGAGAGAGGAGAAGAGAGAGAGAGAGAAAGAGAAGAGAGAGAAAGAGAGAGAGAGAGAGAGAGAGAGAGAGAGAAGAGAGAGTAGAGAAGAGAGAGAGAGAGAGAGAGAGAAGAGAGAGAGAGAGAAAGAGAGAGAGAAGAGAGAAGAGAGAGAGAGAGAGAGAGAGAGAGAGAGAGAGAAGAGAGAGAGAGAGAAAGAGAGAGAGAGAGAGAAAGAAGAGAGAGAGAAAGAGAGGAGAGAGAAAGAGAGAGAGAGAAAAGAGAGAGAGAGATAGAGAGAAAAAGAGAGAGAGAGAGAAGAGAGAGAGGAAAGGATGAGAGACGAGAAGAGAAAAAAAAGAGAGAAAGAGAGAAGAAAAAGGAGAAAAAATAAGAAGATAAAGAAAGAGAGAGAGAGAGAGAGAGAGAGAGAGAGAGAGAGAGAGAGGAGAGAGAGAGAGAGAGAGAGGAGAGAGATGAGAGAGAGCATGTATATGTGTATGTATATATATATATACATATATGTATGTGTATATATACATATGTATCATATGTAAATCAAACACTTACATACAAACACACACACACACACACACAGCTTGCATACGTGTGTGTGTATATATTGTATGTATGTATTGTATATATATATATATCTAATTATAATATTTACAATATATATATATTACAATTATATATATATAATATATATATATATATAACTTGCATATATATATATAATATATATATTTACAATATATATATATATATATAATATAATATATATATATATATATATACTTGCAATATATATTATATATATACTTGCAATATATATGCATATATATTATACTTGC